CTATGGCCTTCCCCTGTACCCACACAGCAGCAGCAGTGGTGGATCCCCAGCTGGAACCAAGTTCCCCAGGGCGTTTTCTCCAAAGGAAACTCCCACCACACTGGGCAGCTTAGACAGGAGCCTGACCACCAGAATTTGCCTGAGAGGGTGACCCTAGCCTCTCCCACTGGGAGTAGCCAGGGACAGCAGGAGCCACTCACCTTTATCTTCACCTGCCCTTATGTTTCAGGTCAGCCAGAAAGTGGAGAAGAGGACACCTCAGGTAGACAAGGCAATGATATAAATAAGAAAGCATGTCAGGAGGTCAAGCACGCTCCCTGCACTTTACATGGAGCATGAAGATCATGAGCTCCATGGAGCCCAAGGAGACGGTGTGGATCAGCCAGGTGCTGGACACAAACAGCTGCAGGTGGGAGCTGAGCAAGAAGTGCACGTTGCTGTGCATGCAAAGCCCGCCGGCAAGAGGACTTTGTGCAGTGGAGGACGGAGGTATGCAATGTACCTTTGCCTTTGCTCATGGGGTTCAGATAAGAGGATATCTGGCACCTCCATGGCCTTTAAAAGCATAGTCTCCAAGGTAACTGTTGAGCTTAAAGGACTTCAATGGGGCCACTGGGAGACGAGAGGAGAGGCCCCTGGCTTTAGATGCAGGCTGGCCTCTCCATCCCACCTGGGTGAACTTCAGAGACTGGACAGTTGACCCCGGGGCACTTCTCCTCTTCCCTGCTCTTCTCCATCTTGTCATCCGTATTTGTGGGGGAGGGGAAATGGCTCGGTAGAAAGAAACAATAAAAAATATATATATGCTAATTTATTGTGTTTAACTACAACAGTTCAAAAAATAACACCTGCTTGATTGCTAGAGCTATCACAAGACACTCATCTACCACTTTGCAAGAGGAGGGCCCTGAAAATTCTCTTGTGACCCAACTGGTAAAAGAAGACCACGTTTTGCTTTGAGGGGCAAAATTATGCTCAGAGACCGAGACTGTCTTTGCCAATAGTTCAACACATGTTCATTGTAGGATTTATAATAGTTTCACAAGCCAATAGCATAAAGTATAGTGTCTCGTAATAAGCCAATAAAGAAATAACATAACGTACTCCCAACCAATGATAGATTAATCACACTACTGTTACAAGCAAGGGGAGATAAAGGGAATAAAGTCCAAATTTAATCAAGGTGTACCTTTTTATACAAGTAGGCACTTGGGAGAGGCAGCTTGACCAACCGAGAGCTGACGTCCAGCTGCCAGTGCAAAAGGAAGGTGAAAAATCCCTGTTGCTAGAGCACGTTGCTAGGGAACAAGAGTGTCAGTGTTGGTGGGCAGGCTGATCTCCTTCACGGGACCACTGCATGGTTTGTCACCACTACTGATGAAGGAGTTGCCCTTACTACCGTAGGAGCGAATGCAGAAGGTCTTCAGAGAGTTTATTTAGGTCAGCAAAGTGTCATCTTGCTCAGACTGAAACTCTCAAATATTCCTCAAAGACCCTGGGTATTTATAGTCTAAATGCCCCTCCCCATAGTCGCTTCTCCACATGTTCTTACTGATCAGCCCCCAGCAGCACCCATCATCAGCTGACCTACTGAGTGCTTATCAATGACAACAGATGAGAAGCTGACATCCTGACACAACTTACTTCTTTCTTATGTCAAAACAACAACTTTTTTTCTCTGTGTAATAAACAAGTGAATTAAAACAACTTCACTAAGTCATAAACAAGTGGATTTCAAATTATATCAAACCAATACACAACAAACCAAAACCACTTTCCTTGAGGGAAATTGAAGCCTGATCAGACCTTTCTAAGGATGGGACAAATAGCAATGAACTGTAAAGGGGACTACATTTGAAGCTGTGGCATTGGCTTTTCTTGCTGTGCAAACAAGGTCTGAGGGTCACATCTATATGATAAATATTGCTGTGAGGCAACCACTTCAGTATTTATAAGTCCAAAACAATGCCAATGTATTCTCTCTTTGTACCCCCTCTCCTGGGGCCCACACCTTAACCGGGGAACATTCACTGGTCTTCTCTTCTGTTAGCTCCAGACTCAACTTCTTCTTGTGCCCCTTTGCTCCCCTTCAACTTCCTCTTTTCCACCCTGCAGCACCTACCCCTCCTCCTCAAAATAGTCCTTTTTTTCTTTTTATGTTCAATGAGCATTCCTTTTTATTTTTCGAAGATTATTTTCCACCTTTACTGAGGTATAATAAACTACACATATTTAAAGTTTTGACATACATACACCCATGAAGCCATGACCTCTCAAACATTTCCATTACCCCCAAAGTTTCCTTGTGGTCTTTTTAATCCATTCCTCCCTCCATTGCATCCCCAAGCAACTGCTAATCTGCTTTCTCTCTGTATAAATTAGCTTGTCTTTTCTAGACTTTTGTATAAATGGAATCATACAATTTGTTCTCTCTTTTTTTTGCCTGGCTTCTTTCATTCAGTATAATGATTTTGAGATTCTTCACTATTGTGTGTATTAATAGGCTTGTCTTTATTGTTGAGTAGTATTCTACTGTATGGATATACCATAATTGGTTTATCCATTCTCTATTGGTGGATTTGGGTTGTTTCTGGTTTTTGGCTATAACAAATAAAGCTCCTATGAACATTCACGTACAAGTCTTTGGGTTTCATGCTTTCATTTTTCTTTAGTAAATACTTAGGAATGGAATGATTAGGTCGAATGGAAGATGTATGTTTAACTTTTTAAGAAACTGCCAAAATGATTTTCAAAGCGGTTGTACCGTCTTACACTCCCACCAGCATTCTATGAGAATTTCAGTTGCTCCACATCCTCACCAACATTTGGTATGGTCAGTCATTTTAAATTTAGTCATCTCATTGTGGTTTTATTTCTTTGAATGCACTGTGGTTGAGCTACGTCTTGGCTTCATTTCTACCAAGGGTGAACATATGCTTAGGTTTACAAGGAATAAAATCAGATTATGCCTGTTGTGCCAGTGAAGTTAAGTGTCCCTTTTACCCTCCAAAATGTCCTGGTTTGGGGGCCGGCCCCGCGGCGTTGCGGTTAAGTGCATGTGCTCCGCTGCTGGTGGCCCAGGTTCGGATCCCAGGCGTGCACCGACACACCTCTTGTCAGGCCATGCTGTGGCGGCGTCCCATGTAAAGTGGAGGAAGATGGGCACGGATGTTAGCCCAGGGCCAGTCTTCCTCAGCAAAAAGAGGAGGATTGACTTGGATGTTAGCTCAGGGCTGGTCTTCCTCACAAAAAAAAAAAAAAAGATTAAAAACAAACAAACAAAAAACAAAATGTCCTGGTTTGGATAATAAAACATGCGGTGTCTCGACTTTCAATCCACCTGACAATGCCCCCAGGCTGTCCATCCGTAGCCACAAAGGCCCATCAAGTCATTCTGCTCAACAAAGACTTTCTCCTCCTCTAAACGGGATTTTCCTGCTTTTCTTGAATAATTTTTCTTCCTTACCACGACAAGTTTACAGGAGGAAAGGCGTGGCATAATGTAACCTAGTAGGCAGTAGGAGGGGCAAGTGGAGGGGATACATGGAGGGGGTCACAACAGGTCCCGACAACATCATTTGAGCTGGATGTAGCCATGCTTGAGGTAAGTCTATTCCTTAACTTTTGCACAAAAACCCGGAAATCTCCCTTTTTTGTCTAAGCCAGTTTGACTTAGATTTCTGTCACTTGCAATTAAGAGCCCTGACTAGTATACACAGTAGGGGAATGTGCCCAGAAAGGCAACAGTATTTTGCCAAGCCTTGGCTGCCTCTTATTTCACATCTAAGTAACTTCTGCCTTCCCTGAGAGTTACTGTTTTTGTGACCTAGCCCTGGGGAATTTAAAGCAGAAGCATTGGACACACTGGTTGGGGACGAAACTTCAGAGAACATTAAATGCTCAGGGTCAAAGTATTCAACGGTATCACCACACGGTTTGTTTAATCGAATACTCTAGCTCTGTGTATGCACTGTAATGCAAAAGGCTCTTTAATCTTTAACTAAACTGTCATTTAGTGGTATGATCCAAAAACTGTTCTGAATTTTGGAAAGCAGCCTGCATTCCCAACTAGCATTTCCTTCCTTCTTAATGACTAGATTTAATACTTACAGAAGCATACCCATATTTACTCAGAGCGCTAAATGTGCAAATGAGCAACTCTGTAAGTGACCTATGTGAGCACACCTCTAAATGACTGGTGGTGCGTGCCCTCTCCTAGCAGCACAATGAGTTACCAGCGTTGTTTGAGGACATCTCTCGGTGAGCAGTGCAAAGGTAATACTCCAGTGGAAGAAAAGAGGAGGCCAAAAGCGGGGGGCAGAAGTTAAACAGATCCCATTCAGTCCCCTCTCGAACGTTCTCAGATTTGCCGGCAAAACTGAGCGAGACCCCTGACCCGCAGGGGTGCCTCCCCAACAAGGAGTGCCCTAGACCCAAAGACGGACTAAACTCGGGCTGGCGGCCTGGTAGTGTTCGGGTCCCTGGGCGTCCCTCTCCTCTGTGGCGCTCCACCCGCCGAAAAGCAGCCGGAGGTGAGACCAAACGGCCTCCACTCCACACAGCTAGCCCACGGCCGGGGGTAGCAACCCGCATTCAGGAGCTGCAGACGCGACTACAGGCCCCCTGCGACCCTCCGCAGCAGCCGCGGCGTCGGCCCCGCCCCTGCAGTCCCTAAATCCCTCCTCTGCGCTCCCGGGGCACGCCCCCTCCCGCCATGGCCCCGCCTCCGCGCTCCCAGGTTCCACCTCCACGCCCACGAGCTCGGGCCCGCCCCCAAGCCCACGGCCTCGCCTCTCGCCCTCCCGGGCCCCGCACCCCACCCCCTCGCGTCAGGCCCCGCCCCCGCTCTCCGTGGCCCCGCCCCTCGCACTCCAGGGCCACGCCCCACGCTCTGGGGTTCCGCTCTCCCGGTCCCGGCCTCGCGCTCGGGCCCCGCCCCCACGTGCCCTCGGGAGTCCCGGGGAGGAGTTCCCGCGCGGGAGGAGGCGTGGCCGTGGTGCCGGCGGAGGCGCGGGCAGCGCGGCCGGGACTTTGGCTTTGACACGGACGGCGAGCGGGAACCGTGGCGCTGGTGCTGGGCAGTGGACGTGGTTCTGGCGGATCCCGCGTCCGAGTCGGGCGTAGGACTTTTGCCTGGAGCAACGCAAGTGGGGAGACGCGGCTAGTCCTGGTGCAGCCGCAAGACTTGGTGCAGCCGCGGCGGCCGGATCTCGCCGCCGGTGCCGCCTCCGCGCAGCCCTGCAGCTCCTGCGGGCTGTGGGAGAGAGACTGGGAGAGTTTCTCCCGCAGGAAGAGCCGGGACGCGCGGCCCGAGGCGGCGTGGGCGGGATCCCGCGGCCTGGCCCCAGACCCGCAGTCGCGCGGGCACCAACTGGAGGCAGGGCGCCCGCGCTGTCCCGGGCCGGGCTCAGGCTTCGGGGCTGCAGGTGGAAGAAGGACGCCCCGGGGGAGCCGCCGAGAGGTGGGGCGCGGGGACCAGGGGCGGGTCAGGTGGGGGTCGATAAACCCTTTCTCCGCGCTGGCACTAGCGAGGACGGAATTCCCAAGTTTCAGGTGGCGCTGAGTGTCGGGCGTGGGGGATGCGCCCTCCCTCTGCCCACGCCCAAGTGGGGGCGAGCGAAGTGGGGAGCTGGCCCCAGCGCTGCGAGGGTTGAGAGGTATGGGCTGACGGGGATAGGTCTCTTTCCAAGAGAAGCAGCTCATAGCCTTTTTGGACCCCACTGTGATAAAAACTGGACCTCTCCAGAGGACAGTCCACATGGGCCAGACTCATTGTGTGTGCGTGTTCAGGGGTTCACGGACAGCTAGCAGCGCAGGACTCCTGGTTAAGAACTCCCGCTCTAGGTAGGGAGTGCTAATGCAAACTGATGAACTGATTCAATCGATTTTTGTGTTTATTGTTTTCCAGGTGACGGAGTGAAAGGTACTTTTGGACGCTCTGGGCATGGAGACTTAGTGTTTGTCTGTGGTAACCGTTTCGTCCCCTGAGTCCTGCACCTTTCTCTCTTCTGTGCCTGTAAGGTCTACTGGGCTTCCTTTCTAACAGAGAGTTATTCTGCGGTGGTGAGGCCTTCCTGGGCCCCTGATCCTGTCTGGCCATGGGGAGCACCCTGGGTTGCCACCGCTCCATCCCCCGGGACCCCTCGGACCTGTCCCATAGCCGCAAGTTCAGCGCGGCCTGCAACTTCAGCAACATTCTGGTGAATCAGGAGCGGCTCAACATCAACATGGCCACGGAGGAGGAGCTGATGACCCTGCCTGGGGTGACGCGTGCGGTGGCACGCAGCATCGTGGAGTACCGCGAGTACATCGGTGGCTTCAAGAAGGTGGAGGACCTGGCACTGGTCAGCGGCGTGGGCGCCACCAAGCTGGAGCAGGTCAAGTTCGAGATCTGCGTAAGCAGCAAGGGCAGCTCCGCGCAGCACTCTCCCAGCTCCTTGCGGCGGGACCTGCTGGCCGAGCAGCAGCCTCACCACCTGGCCACTTCCGTGCCCCTCACCCCGCGTGTCAACATCAACACAGCCACCCCGGCTCAGCTCATGAGTGTGCGAGGCCTCACGGAGAAGATGGCCGTCAGCATCGTGGACTACCGCCGCGAGCACGGACCCTTCCGCAGCGTTGAGGACCTGGTGAGGATGGGTGGTATCAATGCCGCCTTCCTGGACAGGATACGGCACCAGGTGTTTGCCGAGAGGTCCAGGCCCCCGTCCACCCACACCAACGGGGGCCTGACCTTCACCGCCAAGCCTCACCCCAGCCCCACCTCCCTGAGCCTGCAGAGTGAGGACCTGGACCTGCCGCCAGGGGGGCCCACGCAGATTATCTCCACTCGGCCTTCGGTGGAGGCCTTTGGAGGCACAAGGGATGGGCGGCCTGTGCTGAGGCTGGCCACCTGGAACTTGCAGGGCTGTTCGCTGGAGAAGGCCAACAACCCAGGGGTGCGAGAGGTGGTGTGCATGACGCTCCTGGAAAACAGGTGAGGACAGGAACCACCAAGGGTGTTGGGTGTGAAGGCAGCTCTTGCATGGCCTTATCTGTGCATGCAAATGAATGGACTTTTTGCCGGGGTAGGGAGAGGGCAAGAGTAATCAGCGTGTTTGAGGCCCCAGCGAATATTGTTGCCTACAGCTGAGCTCCACAATTTTCTGACTACAGCTGTCTAGGTTTGTGGCGCTATCTTGAATGTGGTATATCTGAGATCGATTCATAATTTGGGGGTAATATCTGGGAGATATTTATTGTGTTGGTGTTCCTGCTTTGGAGAATGTTGTTGGACTCACAGACTTAGTGGGGTTTACACCAGATCAGGCACTCAGAGCCTGGGAACTATTGCACAGTTGTGCATAGGAGAAAGAGCTGGTTGGATTTTTTTTAACCGGAGGAAAAGTCACATTTGTTTCACCAAATATGTCTATTTGTGTGTGCAGAATCATCTTAAAGACTAGGTATTTGCAAACACATACACTGTGTATATTTACCAAAATGCTGTGAATGAATCACTCTTCATTCTTTTTCCTTATTTAGCCTGAAGTTGATTTTCAGGCCCACAATTGCAGCCCCAAATGTATGTAACCTCTCCTGTCCCATAGCTAGGAAAGGTCAAGCTGGCGTGTGGTGAATATTGGCCAGATTTTCCCATTTGAACCACAAGAGAAGAGACTTGTAGGATGGGCTCTTACCACAGAGTGTTTACATTATTCACATCACTGCTCTCTGTAGGAACTTCCGTTTACCCCTCATAAAACACATCAGTACTATTGTAGCAGTAACTCCTGCTGTTAGTAAAATAGTGTATTCTATAATGTAATCAGCTTTGGGAAGGAAAGAAATATTTTTAATGTCCCTTCCGGGTCAGAAATCCTCTGATCCTGGTCTCGAGGGATTTTGCCCTGTCTCCTGCCAGAGGTGCAGTATATTTGTGGCCACTTGCTGCTTTTCTTTGCACTGGGTTGCTGGTGAGGCTGGCGGGGCAGCAGTTTGGTCACATGAAGTGAGTTCTCAGCAGGAAATCACAGTACATTGTGGCAGAGCATCAGGATAAATGAGTGTAGAGAAAACCAGGTCACAGCGTTACCCTTGCACCGTCCCAGTGGCATGCTCTTGTCACTCAGGATCGAGGGACCGTGCACCAGGTCAGAGAATTGGACCAGGGGAGCCTGTGAGCGCTCTTCCCGCACTGCCATGTCCTCTGTTTTGCACTATAACTCACTGCTTTTGTGAAATCATCTTGTATACAGGTGAGAACTGGACTCTCAGTTCTGGGAGATATTTATCAGGAATGGTTTGATAATTGTTCTCTTCATGCACAGCAGCATGGGTGTATGTATGGGAAAGGGGAGGGGAGAGATGACTGTTTAATTCCTATCATGAGTTTTCTTTAAGGGTTTGAAGGGTGGAGGGGGATGAATCAGGATCTGAAGTTGCCCCAGTGGGAATGACAGACTGGGCAGCCTTTGCCTGTTTACTCTGATAGTGATTTTCAAGTGTGGTCTCTGGGCAGTATCAGTGACTGACTCAGAAACTCTGGGTTTCTGTGTTTTCACACGCCCTCTGGATGGTTCTGATGCACACTAAAGTTTGAGCTCCATTGTACTATGTTTTGGGCAATCAGCTGTCCCTGTGGGTTGCTCTGTAAGTACCTTCCCCTGTACTGGCCGTTCTGACAAGGTCAGTGAACCCACTCAGAGCTTTCCAGGTATTATGTTTTCTTTGATTGTTCTGATTATCCTTGTAGTTACTTAATCATATGATGTTCTTTCTGGCCAGAGTTTGAGGAGCTTAGCTTCTAGAACAGATGAATGTGAAGGGCAGAAAATGGGAGTGTGAGCAAAAGACAGCCAGCCTGAGAGTGGGCTCCACCTGAGTGCAGACCTGGGGCAGCCAGGGGCGCACTGAGGAAGAGTGCTAGCAACTCTCGTCCAGCGTGGAGCTAGGATTTGTCCTGGTGTTTCTTTGGATTTCCTAAAGGGATGATGGTTTGTTGAAGACATTTAACTGCTGTCCTCAGGCGAGAGTTCTGGAAGAGCTTACCCAAACCCTACCGGGTAGGGTGAAGAAGGGAACACCTGGAAGTAACCGGGAAGGTGACCTGCATCTGTCACGTTTCTCACACTTGGCCACATGTGTTGTCCTGTGGGTTGGTGGTTCCTGTTGCCTGTTCACTATGTGTTCAGTGTTCTGGGCACTCGTAGCACCTTGTTAGTGTCTGGCAAACACTAATTAATAGGCTTAGGGCCTGATCCCCTGCAGAGGTGGAGTGGGTCCATTTGCCTGTGTGATTGTCCTAGGGCACCAAAAGATGGCTGGCTGTGACATAGTGGATCACGTGTCCTCAAAACAGCAGTGCACATTCTCCAAGAGCTGTGTGTTCATCCTGATTCACAAAAATCTCTTGCATTCCAATTGATCCCTTTATTAGTAAGAGGAAGTCTATTTAGTTTGAGCAAGAATGGAAGCAGGTAATTGTCTGGGTGGCGCTTATTTTCATACATGTATGCATATAATGCAAGAGGTACCTGACTTCTGGATATGCCTTCATATTTTCCAGCAGCTTTCACATTCATTTGATTTCCTCAGTACCTCTGGGAAGTAGATAATGCTTGCTTGTATTAATGATTCTCCATCTCTGGGTGAGGAAACTAAAAGCAAAGAAGTTAAATGATTTGCCTCTTTCCCACAGCTCATCAGTGACTCAGCTAGGAGTAGGACCTGGACCTTCTGACTTTAGACCTGGACTCTTTGCAAGTGTGCTGTTTTGTAAGCATATTACGTTTATCCTGCCTCTTGTTCAGGCATCCCTTGCTCTGGCTAATCAAGGGCACTTGCCAAATTGTGTGCTGGTCACATTTTCTTAAATTAAGTCCATGGTAAAGGCATTTAAAAACAACACTTAGCTCCACCTCTTCTGTGTTAAATTGGTGAAATTCCCCAACCTTTCCAAGTCTCAGTTTTTCCATCTGTTAAATGAAGCTAATGAAAAAAAAGGGAAAAAAAAGAAACCCTTGGGCACTTCCTTTTCACAGGGAATAACTGGTTCTTCATTTTCCTTTCTGTGGGTTTGCTTTAGTAGGTGTGTTTTCTTAGACTAAACGGTGCCTATGTGGGACTCGAAAGGGTTAGAGTCCTTTCTTGCCTTGAGATGCTGCTGCATTGGTGGACTGGCATGTGTGAGCTACAAGAAACCATGTTTTGCATGTTAAGCCTGAGGCAGGACAGCAGAAAGTTAGATAATCATCCAATCACCAGGAGCCTCCAGGGGCATTACACTGTGGCACAGAACTGATGGGTTTCATCAGGTTCCTTTGCCAAATCTCAGTCTTAGGCTGTGTTTTTCCTAGTTCAGTATTTATGGAGCAAAACTAAAAGAAGAATGCTTCTGCTAAATATCCTTGCAAAATTTGATGACAGTCCACATATGGAATGAAGATTGTTTAATTTTAATTTTTTATTTTTTGCTGAGAAGTTGTTCTATTTTGAAAAGTCCCTTGGTTTCTGAAAGCATAAACCCTAAGGGAGCTGACAGATAATCTCCAAAAGAAATGAGGAGTTTTAACATCCCACCTGCTCGTTTTCCCCATGGCCTCCATCAGAAGGAAACATGAGTGTCAAGGTCTTGAGCTTTATAATAGCCTAAGTTTGTTTTCTTGCCACATGTCTGTCTGCAGTATCAAAGCAGAAAGTGAATTAGTGCCTGGCATCATATACTGATTGTGAAAAAAGAGACTAGTTTATCAGGCTTGATTAGTAGGATCAACATGGACACAATCCATCCTGTCGTTTGATTCATTCATTGAAAAATATGTATTGAATAGCTGCTGTGTACATGCATATGGTAACTTCAGGAGTTGGCTTGGCCCTGTTATTTAACAGAGTTAACTAAATGTGAATCGGCTTGTATGGCTCAGCGTCAACAGTCTGGGAAACCCAGATCTTTTGGGGAAACTCACTGAGTGTGATTGATATCTGGTTGTATTTTTCCTGTGTGAATAATAGGCTCATCCTGGGGGATTGAAGGGTGAGTGGATGCAGCCAGACATAACATCTGAGGGCAAAAGGCCAGCAATCCCCTTAAAGTAGAAATTGTGAAATCCGTTTTGACAGCTGTGGAAACTGAGGTTCAGAGAGATTAAATAGCATCCGTGTGGCATTCAGAAATGTAGATGTTGGAGTCAGGATTTGAAGCCAGGCATTTGTCTCATTTCAGACTGGGGAGTGGAGGTATCTCTCTTCCCGAACACTGTGTCCATCTACTGACCCCTGGCCCACCTGCTGTTTCCTCCCTGTCTTGGGTCTTAGGCTGGCCAGGCATTAGGGCTTCACCTAGACTCCTGGGACTGTGTGAAGACCCTGGAGGCCTCTGCTCCCTTCCTGTTTTTGTTCCTCTGAAGGACAAGGCTTATGGCCAGAGGAGTTCCGGTTTTCTGAGCCAAGGAGGTCTGGGTCGTTTCCAGAGAGAAAGGTGGTCAGTCATAAGATTGCTGTGGATAAATAAGAGAAGATAGTGTGAATAAGAGGAAGTCCTGGTGTGAGCACAACACAGGGTTTATTTCACCAAATGGAAGATGTTACTTTTGTCTTTCAAGAAAGCTGGGCCCGTTTGGGATCTGATTTAGGGAATTTGAAAGTATTGATTCTCCCAGGAGATATTCATTCCTTTATTATTCATTCATTCATTCAACAGATATCTTTTGAGCTCTCACTAGGTACCAGGTTCAGTGTCAGGCTCTGGTGTTAAAGTGTAGAACAAGACAGAGTCGGTGCTCTTATGGAGCTTCCATTTTAGGCAGGGAGATGAAGAAGTCGATACGTAGATACATAATTACAGAGAGTGGCGAATGCAGAGGACGATGGAGGCGAGTTGAAGAGAAGTCTGCTGAGGCCTTAGCTGAAAGCTGATGGGTGACAAGCAGTCAGGCATGGAAAAAGTTGGGGAAAAGAGTGCTCCACTAGAGGAACCAGCAGTGCAAAGGCCCAGAG